ACACACAGACACACACACAGGCACAGAGAAACAGAAATAAAGCTAATAAGACTCTGTGCAGACTTTAAGCCTTTCTATTGGGAAATTATGACTGTGTGTCCATCTGCTGCAGCAGCTCCATGTCTATGGATGTTACCTGTAGGAAGTTGTATTTATTTTTTATTTTTTATTTCACCTTTATTTAACCAGGTAAGCCAGTTGAGAACAAGTTATCATTTACAACTGCGGTCCATCTGCTGCAGCAGCTCCATGTCTATGGATGTTACCTGTAGGAAGTGGTCCATCTGCTGCAGCAGCTCCATGTCTATAGATGTTACCTGTAGGAAGTGGTCCATCTGCTGCAGCAGCTCCATGTCTATGGATGTCACCTGTAGGAAGTGGTCCATCTGCTGCAGCAGCTCCATGTCTATGGATGTTACCTGTAGGAAGTGGTCCATCTGCTGCAGCAGCTTCATGTCTATGGATGTTACCTGTAGGAAGTGGTCCATCTGCTGCAGCAGCTCCATGTCTATGGATGTTACCTGTAGGAAGTGGTCCATCTGCTGCAGCAGCTCCATGTCTATGGATGTTACCTGTAGGAAGTTGTCCATCTGCTGCAGCAGCTCCATATCTATGGATGTTACCTGTAGGAAGTTGTCCATCTGCTGCAGCAGCTCCATGTCTATGGATGTTACCTGTAGGAAGTGGTCCATCTGCTGCAGCAGCTCCATGTCTATAGATGTTACCTGTAGGAAGTGGTCCATCTGCTGCAGCAGCTCCATGTCTATGGATGTTACCTGTAGGAAGTGGTCCATCTGCTGCAGCAGCTCCATGTCTATAGATGTTACCTGTAGGAAGTGGTCCATCTGCTGCAGCAGCTCCATGTCTATGGATGTTCACCTGTAGGAAGTGGTCCATCTGCTGCAGCAGCTCCATGTCTATGGATGTTACCTGTAGGAAGTGGTCCATCTGCTGCAGCAGCTCCATATCTATGGATGTTACCTGTAGGAAGTGGTCCATCTGCTGCAGCAGCTCCATGTCTATGGATGTTACCTGTAGGAAGTGGTCCATCTGCTGCAGCAGCTCCATGTCTATGGATGTCACCTGTAGGAAGTGGTCCATCTGCTGCAGCAGCTCCATGTCTATGGATGTTACCTGTAGGAAGTGGTCCATCTGCTGCAGCAGCTCCATATCTATGGATGTTACCTGTAGGAAGTGGTCCATCTGCTGCAGCAGCTCCATGTCTATGGATGTTACCTGTAGGAAGTGGTCCATCTGCTGCAGCAGCTCCATGTCTATGGATGTTACCTGTAGGAAGTGGTCCATCTGCTGCAGCAGCTCCATGTCTATGGATGTTACCTGTAGGAAGTGGTCCATCTGCTGCAGCAGCTCCATGTCTATGGATGTTACCTGTAGGAAGTTGTCCATCTGCTGCAGCAGCTCCATGTCTATAGATGTTACCTGTAGGAAGTGGTCCATCTGCTGCAGCAGCTCCATATCTATGGATGTTGGACAAGGAGGGGATGTGCAGCTCGCCGCCGTGTGCCAGAGGAGAGGTCTGCTGTTCGAAGAGGGTGCTGTTACCTGGCAACACCATAGACTACACTATGCACAACCAAATGCTCTTTTAAGAGCCATCCACATTGCAATACGAGTATTCTTCCATTTACTTAGCTATGTCAACTGCAGTTATTACATTCCCAGTTTCTCTACCTTTGATTTCTGCTTCTCAGGTGAGGGTGCTGTTCAGGTAAAGGTGATGTCTGTACGAAAACAAAACAGGCTCTTTTAAGAGTCGCCCATATTGAAAAAATGTTGAACAATTACACACTCTATAACCCACTCCTACACACTCGTGTATCAATCTGACTGATGGATTGTGTTGAGCAGTGAGCAGGCTCAGGTGTATAACTGTGGCTCCTTCCACCTTCAAATAATAGGCCAGAGGACCAACCATGGAGAATAGTAAGACACTTCATTATTTATATTTATAGAACTACGCTATTGTTTGTCCTCCTGTGTCTGTGCATGTTTTTCAGTATAAAGTACTCTGCAGCCACTTAGTGTGGACACCAGGTGAGGCCACACACACAGATTCCTGTTGAACATTGTCTCTTTAACTACCTTATTTTCTCAATAACAGTCTCTCTCCTTCACTTCATCCCTCTCCCCCCTTCTCCTTAAATCCTCTAGGTTATATCAGCTGTGTCGGTGAAACCCTCCCGTTTGGTTTGGGGGGGGGGGGGGTGGGGGGTTTGGTGGGGGGGGTTTTTTGGTGTTTT